CATCTTTGGGGAACCTTGGTGGATAGAAGACCTGGAATTATGGCTTCTAATATGATCCTTCCTCTCTAAGTCCATCTATGTGTGGAACACACTGTCCCTGTTGGTACCTCAAAGTACCATCATCTCCCCCTTGTTCAAAGGTCATCGTCTTATACTTGTGAATCCTCTCTTTCAGCTGTAACAAGCAGGGATTATCAAATTGTTTCTCCTTCACTTAGGCTACTAAGAAGGAACAAGTCCAGTTCTGGACAACAACTCCACCATCTTCGGATTCCGAAAGTTGAACTCCTAGCTTGGCTAAGCAGTGAACTTCTTTCACCATAGTTCTCTTGTATGCCTCAATCATGAGCTATACTTCCCATATTTGCTTATCTTTTTAAGGTACTTCCTGAAAACACTTATACTATTGTTGTGAGCTAAGTCTTTGACCAGTAATCCAAAAATTAGAGTCTCGTGCAATGACACTACCCTCGTGACATATAACTAAGTTGTCCAACAGGACGGGCCGTCCCATCTCGGTCCCATCCCGTGTTCCGTCCCGTCCCATTAATTCTAAACGGGATGGGCCCATGTTAAACGGGACACAGGATGGGACGGGATGGCCATTTCGTCCCGTTTGTCCTGTCCCGTCCCGTCCCGTCCCGTCCCGTCCTATCCCGTCCCATCCCGTCCCGCCTATCCCGCGTCCTATTCTTTTTGTGCATTATATACAATAAACTTATAATCCTGCTTTTCAAGGTTTTTCTAAGACCACGGTTAGAAATGATGTTTTTAAATTTCAAACCGAATATCTTCAGTATATTTTGTTGTGTATTTTTTCACTTATATTGTAAAGTGTCTATAACATCTGATATAGGTCATAGTCCTAATGGTTGTGATTATTTAACTGTTACATGTTATTGGACTGATCATCACTGGAACATGCAAAAACGTATTATTGGTTATAAATTTGTTAATTCAAAACACACTGGAGCATATATTGCAACTACTGTTCTACAAATTATTGATTTTTATGGACTCATTGATAAAGTTTTAACTATCACCTTAGATAATACTTCTGCTAAGTACTAACACAAATGTATCAACTAGCTTAATGAAATGATTACAAAATTAATCCAACTTACGCACCGGCCATTAATGAAATGATTGCAAAATTTAAAAAGTATTTTTTTCCTATTCCCCAAGTTTATTTAATTTCTACTATACTTAACCCATCTTTAAAATTAAGGGGTGCAAATGGACTTGTTCGTAAAATTTATGAGAATTTAGCAATTCAAGAAAATGAACAACCATCTCTCGAAGACTGCCAAGCTAACATATATTCTTATGTTAGATCAATGTTTGATAAATATAAATTTATGGAAACAACAGGTGGTGAAACTAGGGAAGAAGAAGAATACACTGAGATACTTAGCACTGGGAGCTATGACGACATAGAACTCATGGAACATCAATCAACATTGCCAATTTCAGAACAATGTCCGAGAGAAATTATAGATAAGTTACAACGAAGTTAAGAAATTATAGATAAGTTACAACGAAGTTATATAGGAATTTACAAATATTAGTATAATAATTTATAATTGGCTACTAAGAGGCCTAGTTCAAACAGAACCCTCCTAGAAGGTGGCTGCATAGATTAGGTGCTCTTCAAAAGAATTATATTTGTATTTGAGATTTGAAAGTTCTATTAATAAAATAAAAAGGCTCTAAGCATTGAATTTTTTTTATGAATTGTCTTACACTCTTACTTAGTTACTTAATGGCTTGAAATTATATTAAATAAATTATAACTCTATTATAAATTTATAATTACTAGAATATTTCATTACAAGTCTTTTGTTTTAATATTTTATAATTCTTTACTTAGTTTCTTAATTTTTGTTTAATTTTTAAGTTTATTAAATAAGTCAAAAAAACTAGCTGTTGCAAACTTTAAAAACTTAGTCATTGTTAAAAGAATAGCCGTTGCCAAGTTCAGTGCTTAAATAATTTTTTTTTAAAACGGCACTTAAGGCCCGCGAACTCGTCCCGTCCCGTCTCATCCCGTTTGTTAGCGGGACGGAATGGGCCTAGCGTCCGTCCCATCCCGTCTCGTCTCGTCCCGTTTGTTAGCGGGATGGGATGGGCCTACCGTTTCATCCCGTTTGTCCCGTCCTGTTTCGTCCCGTCCTGCCACCGTCCCGGCTAAATGTCGTCCCATCCCGTTGGACAGCCATACATATAACTGGGCATGATTTTATAGTTTTTATATCCCATGCTAACTACTGCGGGTTTCAAATCTCCAACTAGACTTACTGACAATTTCACATCTCCTCCTTAGACCAAAGGTTAAGGTCTTGTATTTACATATCCTTCCCTTTTGTTGGGACCCGAACAACTTTCCTTATCCTCTATAATTCTTTACACTTTACGTCAATGACGACTCACCTTCTGACTTACTTCTGAGCAATCTTTCTTACTAAGAAAAAATAAATTACATACATAAACGGAAAGCTAATGTATTCACAACTATCAAACACAATCTTAATGAATTAACTCTGCTCACACCGTCAATCTTGTCAAAACCTCTTTTCGATAACTCTTAAAGGTTATTATTCTGTAGCTTTCTCTCTTACTGCCTAGCTAATTTTTTTCCTACTGTCATTGTACTTCGGGTTTAACAAAAACTTTTTGTGTTCTAAATCACGTTTGGTATTTCAGACTGTTACCCACTGACTAGTGTTAACCTAGCTAAGTAAATCAAATCTGACCTCTACTAGCTCTGATGAAATTGCTAATTCGCTGTATTTACTCAATACTTACTATTCTTTTACTAACCAACTGCTAAAATCATATTTTCTTGTTCTTCTTTGAATAATTAAAGTGATATGAAACATAATTGTAGACAACATTGCTTGATATGAAAAGCCTACGACTCTGTCTAACTATTACTCTGGTCTATGAAGCCTCTAATGAAGTACTGAAAATACTGACTGTCTGTAAATACTGAAAGACTGTAAAGTAATGGCAATTCCCCGAAAGAACTGGGGCTCACTAAATAGCTGGTATGAGAATCCTAGCGCTCTGAATCGTCAACCTATAAATCGTGATGCAGGCTCTGGGCAAAAGGGATGCCAGTTTGAATTGTACTAGTATGTAAAACAATTGAAAGAAAGATATGTAAATACTGAAACTCAAACTGATAACTAATAACTGAAATGATAACTAATAACTGAAATGATAATTGATAACTGAACTGAGCAAAGGAAGTGGATATGAATACTTCCTCTTCTGAATGATGAACCACCTATTTATCTGATAAACTACGGCCTCGGGCCCAATATATATGTGCACAAGCGACGGTCTTGGGCCCAAGTATACGTATACATAATTACGGCCTCAGACCCAAAAATGTAAAAAGCATAAACTACGGCCTCAGGTCCAAACATGCATAAAGCATAAACTACGACCTTAGGCCCAAACATGTATAAAGTATAAACTACGGGAACAACTGGGGCGCAGACTGCATATTGTCCAGTAAAATATGTATAAATCTTTGCACAGAGGTCCGTTAGGGCTCCATAATATATCATTTGAAAGTTATTTCAAAGGGCTACAACTTTCATGTTTTATGTTTTTCAAATTCTCAATATATTTTCACTAAATTCTGCTAGAAGACAGACTTTCCATAAACTTAGTCGATTTTATCGAATCTTATGCACCTCACTCTCTGTCTTGATTCCAAAACAACTATTTCCACCATACTCATCCTGATAGTACTTCATATGTCTAAGATGTCACATTAATACTCATTTAATACATCTACACCTAGTTCGAATTTACAGAGTGTTACACCAGTATATAAGCCCACATCTTATCCCACCTTATCTATACAAAACAACCCCTTAGGGCTCGTTTGGTACGAGGGATAAGGGATAACTAATCCCTGAAATAAATTTGAGATGAGTTTATCCCACATTTGGTTAGGATAAAATTATGGTATAACTAATTCCGGGATTAGTTATACCGGGATTGTAGTATTTTTTTATCCCCATGGGAGGGTGGGATAACTAATCCCGGGATAATTAATCATGGGATAACTTATTTCCCAACCAAATGACCCCTTAAGGTTCTTGGCATTAAACGTATTATATTTCTAAAATTATGAGTTCAAACATACTATTTGGTGTAATTTTAGTGAAATTTTTATATATAAATTTATGCTAAATGTCAAAAGTATTGAGTTCAGATGAACTGGGGTTAATATGCCGCATCCACCTCTGCCTTGTATGAAGATGTGATGATGCACCGTTTCAATATTGGCTTAGTATAATAATAGTAACTTCTTGAGATATTTGATGCCAAATCTCCTAATATTAGTATCAAGAAAGTAATCTTTTTCAGGAATTTTTCACATAAAGAAAGAAATGTTAAAAGGATATAATCTCCGTGATAAAAATCAAAGCGAAAATGAAAATCTGTGAATGGAATAATAGAAGTGTTATGAGAACGAGAGGCCTTTAAAAAATGAAATCGAGTCAGACATGCATATGGATAAAATCGAATGTCCTTGGCTTCAACCTCAGTTCTTGACTTCTTGTTATCTATTTATGACCGATGGAAAAGGGAAAAAATGACTAGTAATTGATTTCAAAAAATCAAGCAGAAGAGCCGAAACAAAAACAGATCATTTCTCTACACAAAGAAAATGAAACATTTCATTTTGACTTTTTGGCGTATATATATAATTAAAGAGGAAGATAAAAGAAACTTAGCTAGACTAAATCATTGTCTTGTATAAGGAGCTTTTGATTGAATGCTTCAATTGAACAACCACCCTTGAAAGGGAGAAAATCTTTTGGCAAGTTAGACAATCTTTTCATTTACTCGTTCGTTCTCCCGTTGAAACAGCTTACTATGTTCACTATAACAAATTAACAATGGTAGCCAAATATGACAACTACCATTTTCTTTTTAAGAAACAATACTGCTATTAATTTCAACATGATAATGCAACAGAAATAACATGCAGCCGTGGTATATATATACTGAAAGCTAAAAAAATCTGTAGAAGTTAGCTAGTAGTAATTAACAATCCCATGCAAGTTGATCTATGGAATTTACGTTAGTGTAAATTCCACAAGGCATCAATGCAGAATCCACAAACTCAAAATCAAAGTTAGAGTTGTCAAATGTAACATTCTCCGCGATTTGTCCATTGTTGTTGAACTCATGATTAACCTTGTAGACTTCTTCTTGACAAATATTTTCCTGAAGCTGAAGTAGTTGTGCTCCTTCTTGCTGTACTAACTGCATTTCTTCTTGTCCATTGGAGGGACCAATTAATTGCGGTTCAAAGCCTGTAACATCCCACATGCAATTCTCATTTATAATTCCAAACCCTGATGGACTTAAGGAAGAAGAAGATGACAACAAATTATTGGAAGTACTCTGGTTTTGATATTCAATGGTGGCAAGGTTTGAGTTTTCCATATTCGTCGTGGTGGGAACGCTAATGGGATTCATATAATTGTAAGTAGTACTGGTCAGTGAGGATTTACATGGTCGATCCCAACTTGTTTGGGACTGAGGCAGAGTTATTGTTGTTGTAGTAGCAATAGGAGGCAATGCGGCAAGACTTGCTTTGATAATGTCCATGGAAATTACTCCTACTTCTTTGCTTGATGATAAAGTTTCAATAGTGAAAACAGAGGTGGAATTTGGATAATTAGAAGTCTTGGATTTGCAGCTGTTTTTCATCTTGTTGTTTTGGTGATGATTACGAGAGAGGAGGTTGTGGGTGTTTGGATCAAAGCCTTGAGCAATAAGCTTCTTTTTTATGGCAGAATTCCAGAAATTCTTGACTTCATTATCAGTCCTACCAGGTAAATGTTTGGCTATTTGTGCCCATCTGTTTCCCAAGATTCTATGAACATCAATTATGGTTCTCTCTTCTTGCTCACTAAAACAACCCCTTTTCAGATCTGGCCTTAAGTAATTTATCCACCTCAGTCTGCAACTTTTTCCACACCTTTGTAATCCTGCACAATAATATAAGAAAACAAATAAGCAAATAAGCATATATATATTTCATTTAATTCCATTAAGGAAGCTAAAACCAAATATATTAAATACCGGCTAGTTTAGGGACAGAACTCCAGCAGCTATGGCCATGGGTGGTGATGTGTCTAATGAGTTTTTCATCTTCTTCTGGAGACCAAAGACCCCTCTTTACTTTCTGTTTGCTGCAGCAGTGATGGCCCATTTTGCCTTTTAATTTGCCCTAATTCTCACTACTATGAGCTGCAGCTGCATCTATATACTGCTGGCCTGGCTGCTTTAATTTATTTGTTCACGATTATATATTTATGTTCCAAGTTAGCTTGTCCAATTTATTAATCATGGTATACAAAATATTTGTCTACACTAAGCACAGAGAGAGTACTCGTGTGTTTTTCTTTCTCCAAATATTAGACAAATGCTATACGTGTTTGACTAAGGTGAAGTAGACATCTTTTTAACCTATAAAATATTCATTAACATGACAGAAGATATATATAGAAATATATTATATATATATATACATACATAGAGTAGAGAAAGAGAGATTCTAGAATTTTAACTTAGGGTGTACTCATGAGAGGACCGCATAGGTCTCATTGAGTGCTTTATGGCAGCTTCTCTAGGCGTTGTCTTCAAATAAGATATAGTAGGTTAAACACTCACTCCAATTTACGTTATCACTAAATTTTAGTATGAATAGTAGAATCATTATCATTTTTATCATATTATCAATTAGTAATGTTTATCAAAATACTTATCTGTACATGGGTATCTATAATAAAAGACTTGATTGAATATATATCTTTTTACACGGTCAGTGCAAAATTCCTTCAAATATATCTCTCTTCTGCACCAATTACAGTGGATTGATCTTTTTAAATCACTATTTATATTTTGATTCCATTTAGAAATATTTTGAGAAAATAGTCTGTGTTAGAAGTTTAAAGCATGCTAGGTCAGAATTTTAAAGCACAAAAAAATTAACATAAGAACTTTCAGCCACAACGCGAAATTCTAGTGATAGTAAGATTTTGTGGCCAATTGCATAAAATTATAGCAACCATCAGAATTTTGTGATGATCACCATAACATGCAAAATTTTAGCAACTGCTAGAGTTTGATGTATCTGCATAAGGCTTGCTTTCTCATTAGCGTGCTTCAAAATTCTAACCGAAAATTACTTTTTAATACTTTTCTTACTGGAGTCAAAACTTAAACGGTGGTACCAAATAATTTTATGTGTCATTCGTCCTTACTATAGTATACTTACTTACGACGTTATATACGCAAATTCATCAGGTCCCTACCTTTTAGCTTGTAATTACTGTTTTCAATTGGCCAAATGTTAATTTTCCGTTTTGTATTTCAGAGATTGACAATCTTCTAGCTGCAAAATTAAAATTTAAGTAAATTGTTGTTGTGAAAATAAAGCTATGAACCCTCTTTAGAACAAAAAGAGTATAGATATCCCACAGACATCCTTAAGTGTTTTCAATGTGGGGTACGTACAGCAGGTATATTTACATATCCACAACGTTTTTGAAATAATTTGTGGATCAATATAACAGATATTGTTAGGCAATATGATGTACAAAAGAAAACCCTACCACAAGAAAGGTCTTAACCATCTGAAGATGAAAGAAAGAATAGGAGTAATAAAATTATATCAAACGCGATGACAATGACAACTAAGAAAAAACAACATTTGGCATGATACTATTTAGACCTAAATCTTATCAACGGCATTTCCCGTTCACGTATACGAATGTAGTTTTCCAGAAAAAGGTGACATAGATTGCTTGTCGGCCAAAACTATATTAGATACGTATATAAGTAAATTATTACTTGCAAATAGAAAGAGAAAAAAGTGAAAAAAACTTTTAGAAATTGCCCTAAAAAAGAAAAATGGAACTCCACTTTTTATTATTATAGATGGGATTTACTTTCTAATTATAGATATTATACATCTATCAATAAAGCCTGCCGACAGAAAAAAAAAAGTATTAAATATCGGGTGTTATGATGCTTTTTCTTTGGAAATGTGTTAAATATTTGTGAAAATATGAGAAGCTATTGTTTTATTAAATGAAAATGTGTACAGAATTTGTTAAAATAATGTAATGTTATGATGTTCTTACTTTAGATCATTATACCACAAGTTTAGCAAAAGACAAGTCATTATTGTAGAAGAGTGAATGATAATATGACCGTTTATGGGAAGAGTAATAATGATTTTGTATAAGACCTCCATCATTTCTTTTCTTCCAAATTCAACACAAACAAGAATCTTTTTCAAGTAACCTTCTCTTTGATCTTCCTTTTTCCCCCTCTTTCAAAGAAACAAATTAACCCGTATAATAACAAAGGTGTGAAAATTATAGTCCAGTATCTAGCTTAGTTAACAGAACGGCTTATTTCTTGGATAGTTAGGCTGAGAATTTGAATTTATACAGAACGACTTCCTATGAACAATTTAAAGTCTGTTTGGGCAAGCTTTTGGGAGGTCAAAAGTACTGTTTTCTCAACAAAAAAAGTACTTCTTTGTCAAAAAAAAAGAAAAAAGTACTTCGAAAAAATTTGAGGTGTTTGGCCAAAATGAAAAAGTGTTTTTCATAAGCGGCAGAAGCAGTTTTTCTACAAATTCTAGCTTCTTTCAAGAAGCAGAAATATAAAATTAATTTTTTCAAGACAAAAATAACCTTACAATAAATTTCTATTTTCCAAATTATCCCTCATTAATTCTTTTTATTTTCCTTTTTATTTTATCATACCTTTCTGCTCTTTTTTATTTCAATCATATTTTTATTCTTTTTCTCCTATTCCTCTTTTGAATAGTCTCATATGATCAGTTTTTTTATCTATATAATGATGTATTTTGATTTATTTAAATTATCATATAGATAATAAGTAATACTAGATACTCAATGTTATTACTTTGGAATAGTTATATTTTATAATTTACTTTGGAATAACTATATTGATTAGAATATTTAATTTATATTTTTACTTTATATTTTATATTTTAATTGAATTCCTTTATCACGAAAAACTAAATTCATCTCTCCTTTTCAAATTATACGTTTCTACATTTAAAAATAATTTAACTTTTAAATTTTAAATTTTACTAATCTTCTCTGACGTGATTTTATAAATTAATGTTAAATATTTATGACATATTTCAAATCTCAAATTTCAAAATATTTTGATCCCGTCAAACGTACACTTCACACGAATTTGCCCGGAGGTACTAAGGAAAAGAAATAGAAAGAATTAGAAGGAGCAAAGATACAATACAAACATGTAGAAAGAGGTGACACTTTGTTTTCCTTTCTTCACTCAACAGCTTAGAAAAGTCATTTCTTGGTGTCAACGAAGATATTAGTGATGATTGGGTGGGTCTACTTTCATGATTTTTCACCCTAAAACTTTCCTGTTCCTTGTTCCCTCTCTTTTTTAATTTTAATTATTCATATATTTATTTATTATTTCAGTACTTTTCAGAGAGAATTTACCCTCCTATATTGTTTTTTTCTTTCATACTGTAATTGTTTTTTTGGAGGAAATCACGTGAAAAAGCAAAGCCTAAAAATATGGGGTACATAGTCAGGTACACTACTAGAAATACAAAAGAAAAAAAGGCTTCCTTTCTTGATAACTGTTACCCTAATTATTATGAAATTGACTTTGCCTCTTAATTTTCATCATTAGAGATGAAATTACCTCGCGTCATTGTGATGCAAGAAAGAAAGACACTTTTTCTAAACCAAATCAGTTTAGAATTTCGAATTTTCATCACTCGAATCTTTTGAATGTCTATGATTAATTTCATCTGTTTCAAAGTTGTATAATATTCCTGTCTTATCAATTCTTCCCTTTTGCTTCTATGGATTCCTGTCCATCTTATGGTTTCTCCGCAAAATCAAAATTGTGGGTACCATTTACACTATTTCAAAGGAGCTCTTAATTGGTTTTGATCATCTGTTATTCAGGGGTCCATTTCTTCCGCTTTTAGTCTCCTTTTTACTTCCTTTTTAAGAGAAAATAATAGAGATCCCTTCAATTTCACATCCCAAATATACAGTTTCTATTTCAGGATCTGATTTGAGTGAAATATAAAACATGCTATAGCGATGACTCACGTTCCTCACCCAGTGGAATTTGGATATCCATCGACATATTTTTATTCTACACCATAATCGATCGATAAAGTCCTTGTTATGAACTTTTTAAACTCTACCAAGTTTCTCTTTTTCTCAAATCAACTTTAGTTTACCTTTGTACATTGCTTTTGAATCATCTCACATCGTGAAGCCCTTTATTGAAATAAAAACGTCCGTAGTTGACTCATATCTATGGTATGCTTAATACTCATTATTCAGGAGCCGAATTATAAAGTAGCTATAGGTTCAACCAAACCAAGTATCTTTAGTTTAACTATATATTTATATTAAAAAATTCATTATAAACATGCAAAAATTAAATTTAGTAACTCAAGTATATATTAACATTTCATGTCGTCGTTCTAAAATTTAGAAGACATAAAGGTCAATCCTGGGTCCGCCTCTGCTTACATTGATAATTGATAATATGTGATGGGAACATGTACACAAGAGTACGCACTATATATACTTTTTGTATCATACGTTTGCCGAGCTCACTTGAATGTGATACAACACTGTTGATTATTGAGATTTTGATGATCAACAAAGTTTGTTCATATGCAATGTTCGAATAACCAGGTCCTCAACGTAGCTGCTTAACTATTCTAAGAACCAGTTCCTCAGTGTAAATGACCAGCTCCTACAGGTTGATGATTGTACGTCTGTGCAAGATAGTAACTTTATCTCAAAGTTACTCAGGTCTGAGTTTGGTGGAAGAAGGCTGCTACACATGATAAGGGTTGTTGCCCAAGAAGATACGAATAAATCAGTAAGAGACAAGAGTCCCAAAACTTGTGGAGTCCTTGGAATAGTAGGAGTCCTATCAAACGAGAAGCTGACCATGCATATGACTCCTAGAAGATCTTGGAGTCCAGATGTTTAAATACTATCCATTTGGACTTCTGAGCATATCCTTTTACACATCAACTGAAGAACTACATTTTGCACACTCTAGTCGAGTTCTTCTTGAGTTAGTCTAGTAAATGTATTTTAGGAAATTGAGTTGTAATCAAAGTATCACAAACAATTAGTGAGTTGGAGCAAGTGTTTACTTTACAAGTTAGAGTAACCTGTAAATCAAATAGTCGTAGTAGGAGTACTAAA